TGGCTGTGAGGTCTGGCCTGCCCGGGAGGTGCCCACCTCAGGGCCAGCAGCCTCTGCAGCTCGGAAGGCTGGGCCACAAGCCCAGGCTCCTCACGGGGCCTCTGGGAGATGACTTTGAGCGCCTGGACGTTCAGCCATGCGCTGTGGCGCTCCTTCCCCAGCGGCCTGGGTGGCAGCTTTGTGGCAGACCTGCTCCGTTGCAGGCTGCTGTGCCCTCTAAGGCTGGCGTGTGCTTGTAAAACTACAGCTGTTACGGAAAACTTGGAAGGTCCAGAGAACAGTGTGAGCAGAACGGTTGTGAGCAGTGGCCACCTTTCTCTGTGGACGTAGCCCAGCCAAGCCGTCTGTTAGCTCCATGGCCGGCTGGTGCTGGGACTATTGAGGAAAAAGTCCCATGTATGAGAAAAAAACAGTTTCAGCCCGAATTTGAAGCCTCCATATGTCCAGTGTCAGCTCAGGATTTGCTCCCTAACAAACATTAGAACAGAGGTTAGTTAGCTGGGCCTTCCAGGAAAATCGGCTGTGCCGCAAGGCTGGTGAGGGACCTGGGACCTGGCAAGCTTCTGTGTCCCTCCCCACTTGCGCTGCTCCTGGGACCAGGGAGACCTGGTCTCCTGGAGACCCCTGGGCCGTGTTCTGCGGGCCCGAAGAGGCTCAGCAGCCGGAGGGTGAGGCGCCCGCTGGAGGAGTCACCTCGGCTTTAGCTAAGGGCTCGGGTCCTGGCGGTGAGGAGCTCTGTGGCCTCAGATTAGCTGCTTCCACCATATCACTTTAGTTCATTTTTCTCAGTATCAGGCTGAATGTTTCTGCCTGACAAGTCTTGCTGAGTCTGTAAGGCATTGGGAGCAGCACGGCGGGCGTGTCGTCCGTGTGATGTGTCTCACGTGTGTCCCTGTGCGCAGACTGATGCGATGTCCAAGTGCACTTTGAACTTACAGATAAGTTTCCGTTACCTGTAGGGCCCTGGGTTCTGAGGTTCAGACCTAGACTTCTGGCAGCGCCCCAGACTGCTCTAGCGGCGACAGGGAATTGGATGAAACATGGCTCACCACAAAGAAGCGAATTGACAGGCCGTATTTAATCCCCCAGCACTAAAGACACGGGCTGTTCAGCTGCGTGGGACAGAGTTTGGTGGGAAGGCCCCTCCGAAGTCCCGCTGGCCAGACGGAGCCAAACGCATTTGGGCGGGGGGTGCAGTTCCTGGGGAAGGAGGGAGGCCCCTGGGGCAGGGAGGGGGGGTGTAAGGCCAGGAAGGTGCACCTGGGGAGAGGGAGTGGGCCCCAGTGGGAAGTGCCTCCGGGAGGGGAGACCGCTGCTGGGTGCCTGGCTGCAGGCTGATGCGTCTGCTGTGTCTTTCCTGATCCTGCCGTGTATTGGCTCGTATCCTGCAGCTTTACTGAGTTTGTTTATTCTAACAGTTTGTGTATGTGGAGTCTTCAGGGTTTTCAATGTATAGTAGTGTCATGTCACCTGCAAACAGTGACAGTTTGACTACTTCCTTACCAATTCGGTTGCTTTTTTTCCCTTTTTCTTGCCTAATTGTTCTGTCTGGGACTTCCTGTTGAATATGGGTTGTGAGAGTGGGCACCCTTGCCTCGTTCCTGCGCTTAGAGGAGAGGCTTGCGGCTTTTCTCTGGTGAATATGGTGTGAGCTGTGAGTTTGTCATTTATGGCCTTTGTTATGTGGAGTCATGTTCTCTCTGTACCCATGTTGTTGAATTTTTACCATGAGTGGAGGTTGAGTTTTGTCCAGGGCTTCTTTTTGCATCTCAATAGAGGTGATCTTACGGTTTTTAGCTTTCCTTTTGTTAATGTGGTGTAATACATTGATGGACTTTTGGACATTGAACCATCCTTGCGTTTCTGGAATAAACCCCGTGGCAGGGCAGGGCAAGGGTCGAATGTGAGCGTGAGGGGAAGTGCTTGAGCACGCACATGCTCCTCACTTTGAAGCCAGCTCCCCAGCAGGGCCCCGGGGGTTAGAAGGCGACTGTCAGCCCGCCTCCATCCGACTCGACCCCCAGAGTTCCCATGTGACTCCGGGGGACACTTCAGTCTGGACGTAGCCTGGGCTCGTCGAGGCTCTCAGGTCACCTCTGCCGGGCACTTCTGGATGGTTGCACTTCCATTTGCATCGGGGAGTCACTGGCCCCAGGTCAGCCTGCTCGCAGCCTGGCTGGTGGCGCTGGGCTGTCTGACCGCCCCTCGGTGGGCCTTGGGTGTGGTCCCAGCGAGCCAGCACTGTGCGAGGAGGGTGATGAGGGGTGCGACCTGTCCTTCAAAGACACACAGTTCAAAATCCGGAGAGCCCTGCCACGCAGAGACTTACAGGGGTTGTGTTTTTATTTCACAGAACTGTTGCTTTTAAAGCAAAACAGGGACTCCCCTTTTGAAAATGTCAAGAATCTGCCATATTCTTTCAACAATATGGGGGCTTCGAGATGAGACCGAGCCCTTTGGGAGGAGCCAGACTTCGCTAGCGGTCAAGTTGGAGAGGGGAGGGCCGGGGCGGGAGAGGGTCATGCCGCATGGGCCCATTCATTGTGTTCTCCAGTATTTATCGTTGAGCATTAAAAAACACAGAAAAGGTGGGAGAACCACACAGTGAGCACCATTACCCTCGTCTGATTCTGCATCCTTCTGCTTCGCTGCATCATTGCACATCCATCCGTCTGTTCATCCCTCCAGGCCACCTTATTTTCTGATGCATTTCAAAGTAAGTGGCAGGCATTGGTTTGAGCCTTTTAATGTATTATTGAATTCATTTGCCAATATTTTGTTGAGGATTTTTGCATCTGTTTTCATCAGGGATGTTGGTCTGAAGTGTTCTTTTCTTGTGGGCCTCTGTGTCTTGCTTCAGCCTCGGGCTGTGGAGCCTCAGAGAACGGGCGGCTGTGTGTCCTCCTCTGATTTTGTTCTAATTATCAAAAGCTACTAGCAAGTGGCGGATGTTTATGATTTTCTGTGGTATTTAATGATTTTCTTCTGGACAAATGATGTATACCACCCACCACATCAAAACCTCTGTTCTGCCCCAGCAGGTGAGATGGTCCAGGGCGAGTCGTGCCCCCCCGTGTGTCAGGACGGCAGATGTGGGGGTGGTGCGCCAGGAGCCTGCTGCCTGGCTGCGAAGTGGCCCTTCCTGCTCGCAGATGCGAACGGGCTGGCGCCGACTGGGATGGAACCTTTTCCCGTCAGCTCTTGAGCTGAGAGGTTCCTTAGCGTCTCAGATGGTTTCCCCCATTTCTGGGGTTGGGAGGATTGGTGGTCTGGACCTTGGGGATCTGTGGTTAGAAGAGCCCCTGAGCTGCCTCTTTTGGGTCGAGTAGGGGCCACTCTGGAAAGCCTCAGTCCCACGTGGAGGGGCTGAGAGACTGTCGTCTATTACTGGCTGATCTGCCACGTATCCTCTAGCGTTGCGGCCTTCCCCGCCCGCGAGCCGCAGCGCCTGTCTTCTGCAGGGTCCTGAGAGCTGGGCCCTGTATGTTTCACCCCTGAACGTACACTGGAGAGTGCATTTCACTGCTTGGAGTCCCCTTTGTATGGTGGCTGACCTTGTTTACTATTGCTTATTCATAAACACAAATCCCATCAGGGTACGACCATGAAATTACCAACTGACTTGCGGATGCGTCTTGTAAATTGACTTGAAGATCGCACACAGGATGCACGGCAGGCATCCTGCAGACAATCAAGGCTTGTTTGGAAACGTGTTTGCAGGCTGAAACCTCAGGCACACTGGTCGCTTCCCGGCAGCTGTCTGCACACTCCGGACGCCAGAGTGGCGCTGGCTTCCCTGCTCCCTGTGCCCCGGACAACCGCCATCCCGCCTGCAGGTCCCCCTCGGCCTATGGTCTTGGTCTTCCTTTTTGCAGAGTGTGTGACCGTGCAGCCACGGCGCCTGGACACTGTCCCTGGTTCCCACTGCGTACTACTCAGTGTTCTCCAGACAAACAACCGGTCTCTTTATGTAAATGCATTCGTTATAGGGAACTGGATCCCGCAGTTACACAGGCTGACAAGGCCCGAGCTCTGCCGTCAGCGAGGAGACTAGGGCTGCTGGTGTAGCCGAAGCCTGAACTCGGAGGCTTGAGACCCGGCAAGAGCCCCATGTTTTGGTTGGAGTCTTAAGCTCAGAAAAGACCAACATGCCCGTTCAAGGCAGGCAGGCAGGAGGAAACCCCGCCTTATTCACGGGAGGGTCAATGTTTCTTCCAGTCAGGAAGAGCCCATGCTTCATTTCAAGTCCTAAGTGAGAAAAACCTGATGCCCCAGCGCTGCCGCAGGAGGGGACGCCCCTCCCCACGGGCAGTCAGCCCTTTCTGTTCAGGCCTCCAGCTGCCTGGCTGAGGCCCAGCGCGCCGCGGAGGGCAGCCTGCTTTATTCAGTCTGCCAGCGTAGTGTTAATCTCGGCTGGGGACACCCCCAGACACCCCCAGCGTCCGCCCCCCTTTGGGCCCCTGCCCCTGTGGCTTCTGTCGCAGGGACAGGTCATTGGGTGTGTGTGTCCAGCACCACGTGGATTCATTCGCCGTGTGACGCTTTAGCGTCTAGTTGCTTTATAGACACATCTCATGGAAAGAGGCCAGTGTCTTGGCGTCAGAATAGTCTCACGCGCCTCTCCATGTACCATCCCCTCGGCCTTGTCCCTAGGAGAGAGGTCTCCCCGTCCCCCTGGCTACCCCACTGGTGGGAGGCCTGGCGCTTTACAAGGGTGCTTGCTCTGTATCTGGGGAGGCAGTGGTCATTGGAGCTGGTCACTTAGAAGCTGGGTTTCGAAATGACCCAGTTGTCTTGTTCTATTGTGCTTTTTAAAGATCTTCTCACTCTTGGAATTCTTTAGAAACTTAAGACTGCCTCAGTCCCCCTTTGTCTACTAGGCTCTGCTCAGGCCTCCGGGAGTGATTTCTTCCCTGTTCCCTCCTCCTCCTGGTGCCCTTCCCACTGATGGTCGGGGCGACGCTGGCTCTGAATGACACCTGCTCTCTGTCTCCCTGCAGTGCTTCACCGGTACAGACACATTCTGGGGCTGTGGCAGCCAGACATCGGGCCGTACGGAGGGCTGCTGAATGTGGTGGTGAGTCCGCGAGCCGTGTGGGGGGCCTTGTGCGGTCGGCCTGATGCCCATGGATGGCAGCCTTCCTACCGGAGGGGCGACCCGGCTGGTTCCTCGTGGCCTCGCGCTTTCTAGGCCAGGCGTTCTTTTCTAAGCAGAGATGTAAGTAGCTCTTGGCCTCTCACCGCGTCCTTGGAATTTGTGATGACGCCACCCCCCCGAGCCCTGTCCCTGCCTTGGCGAACGGAGGGCTGCCTCATTCCCGCCCTCGGACACACTAGTTTTGGGTCGTGCTCTAGTTTGCTGCCCTAAATTAGGGGCTGTAGACTAAGCAGAAAGGAAGGATATACACGGCATCTGTGCGGGCCCCGAGAGCCTCCAACTCATCCCAATCGCTGGGGAGCGTGTGGCCCAGGCCTGGTGCTGGGCAGGCACCATGTCTGCGCTCTGAGGTGTGCCCCAGCTCTGCCCCAGCTGTGCCCTGCCACACGCGCCTTTCACTGTCCCACTGAGGCCTGCTGGGAGCTTCCTCTGTGAGTGGGATGTGTGCAGCCATCGGGGTGTGGGTGGGGGTGTGGGGCGGTGCTGTAGGGGAGCAGAGCCCCCAGGCAGGCGCCGTGGCTTTGGGACCAGGCTGGGTGGGCGGTGGCCCGGGGCCTCAGAGCAGGGTCAGGAAGTGGGCCCCGAGGCCCACCCTCCACGCTCTAACCCCGTGGAAGAACCGCGCAGGCCGGGGTCCGGGGTGGGCAACCGAGCCAGTGGTGAGGAGCTGGCATTTCCAGCCTCGAGGCGTCTTCCCCCGGGTCCCTCCCCATGGCCTCAGCCTCCACCGCCTGGGGGCATGACAGCAAGCTCCAGAGGCCTGAGGCCCGGTTCAGTGCTGTCCCTGGGCTGAGGGCAGGCACCGGCCGGCCGCACACCCCCAAGGCCCCAGGGGGCTGTTCCTGCCTCTCTAGGCTGCAGGGGCCCCGGGTCCCTCTGCTACTGCCCTCCCTGGGCCTCCCCTCTGTCTCGGACCCCTTCCTCTTTGGAAGGATGCGACGATGGCCCTTGGGGCCCACGAGGGTCGTCAGAACAGCCTCATCTTGGGACCCCTGACCGTCACCACATCTGCTCAGTCCTCCTTGCAGTGCAGGGCGGTGGTGCTCACAGGCCAGGGGTCAGGATGTGGCCCTCTGGGGGCTGCGGTTCAGCTGACCTTGATTTCAACGAGGAAAAGTCACCTTTACAGGTGAGATCTACCTGACAGCACCCAGCCAGGGGACGCAAGCTACCAGCCAGGTGACAAGCGGTGGGACCCTGACCACAGGTGCCCCCGGTGCAGCGTGAAGGACGAAGCCTCACTTCTGGGGATCTCCTGCCAGAAACGTGCTGCCCAGATCTGATCGCAAGCAGCTCTTCCCACGAGCCACGTGGGTCCAGGCCGCAGAGCGCCCTCTGCTTCCACAGCGTGGAGGTCACAGGCGCGCAGGCCTGATGTCTGGTTCCCGTGGCGCCAGTGCTGAGGATGCCATCACAGTGTCGGGAACGTGGCACCAGGGCGTCAGCTGGCTGGGTGGAAGTGGGTCTCTGGGGGAGCCCTCAGCCTCCTGCGTCCCCGCCCAGTAGCCACAGGGACCCCAGGCCTGGTTTTCCCTACTCAGCCGTGTGCCGTTGCCCGTCTCCTGCACACCTGGACTCTTCCAGGCCATGGTGGACGTTGGTACAAAGTAGCCGAGTGCTGACGGTTCCTTTCCTCGGCTGTGTGAGGTCTGCAGGAAGTTAGCCGAGGGCTCGCTGATCTTCTGGAGGCTTGGCTTAGCTCCAGCTCAGAGGAGTCTCTCTTGGGCCGGCTCAGCTCTGAATCTGAGGCCCGAGTGCTCCGGGTCCCCTCTGCACGCTCATGGGGACCCCAGCTCTGGCTGCTGGACCAGGATGCCTCATGGTCCCGCCTGCGCACGTCGCTGCGGCTGTGTCTGCCAGAGCCTGGTCCCTGGCAGGGCCTGGGGTCTCTGCGCGCAGCCCCCTCCTTTCTGGGGCTTTGTCCATGTGCACAGCCACACTGGCCACCTATGGGTCACATCTCTGTGTCCTCAGGTCACAGCAGCCCTGCTCAGTCCTGCCTGTTTCCTCTGGGCCCTGTGGCGTGGAAGGTGGCATCCATCAGGAGCCCAGGGGATGGCAGGGCTGCTGCGTCATCCTGTCCAAGTGCCAGCTGGGCTCCTGGCACTTGCGCACGTGTGCCTGTGGATGCGGGCCCCCAGAGGATGTCCTGGCCGCCTGGGTCAGTCAGCAGGGCGCCTTGCTCTGAGCAGGTGCTGGCATGAGGCTGCCTGTCAGGCTTGTCCTCAGGGCACAGCCCAGGGCCCTGAGGTCCAGTTCCACCCACTGTCCACCCACCCAGCTCTCCATGCTGCCCACGCTTTTCCTGGATGACCACTTCCTGCTTGGCTCCTCCGCGTCCAGCAGTCACGGTGTAGGATTCTGCAGACGTCCTGGGCAGGGCGTGTGCACAGACCCGTTTCTCTGCTTCCCGCTTGTCACAGTCTGGGGCCTGCTGCGTGCTCTCTGTTCCGGTCTCCCTGCTGCCCAGCCACCCACTGTGGGGCGGACAGCCCTGCCCCTGGTCTCACCCCAGCCTCCCTGGCCTCATCTGGGGCTACGAGCCCCTGGCATCTTTAGGCATCATTTTCACTGTAGTTATTCAGACTTCAGTGGGTCTCGGCCACAGGGTCTGTTCGATGGAAGTGCCTCATTCATGCCGGGAGAAAAGCCTTCTTGTAGTTGTGACTTTCTGCTTCGTGGGCACCTGCCTGTCTTATTTTGAAAGGCAGCAGCTCACAGCCCATTTAAGAAACATAGTCCGACTTTCCTCAGTGGTTTACAGGCATCTGTGTCTGGCAGGACGTGCCCTCCACAGGCTCCCTGCCCAGCTGCGCCCCAGAGACAGGCATGCCGTGTGCTCGGTCAGCGGCAGCCTGGACTGGGCTGCGGTTACCTCCAGGTGGGTACCGGACTGGACGCTGGCGTTGCCCTGGAAACCGAGTCGGGGCCCTCCGAGCCGCTGTCGTTCCGCCTGCGTTCCCCCGCTTTGCTCACAAGGTGGCCAGGGCACCGGCCGCACACTCGCACTGTGAATTGGCTCGTGGCTGTGCCGGCGGCGGGCCCTGAGCAGCCTCGCAGCCGTCTGTCTGCTCCTGGGCCAGGTGGGCTGCCGGATGGCTGGGTCCTCTGCCGCCCTGCGTTTGGCCCTCTAGGTGGGCTTCGGGCACGTTCTTCGTGCTGGTAGAAACACCCGTGGAGAGGTGCTCTGTACCTGCCGTGCTTCCTGCCGCCGGGGACGTTCCTCGCAGGCGCCAGCCAGACAGCTCCCAGCTTGGGCAGATTTCTTTCCTCGCTTTTAGTCGAGAAAAGTGATAATTGTTTTTCTTGCCGGTTTTGATTAATAGAGGCAAAAAAGCAGCTTCTGAAAGCAGGGATAATTGGGGGAAACACAGCCCCTGACAGAACAAAGCCGGCCGCCCTTGCCGCAGCCCAGTTGACCACAGGAACGAGGATGTCCCTCCTTTGTCACTGGAACAGAAGCTGCGAATCCAGCCCATCCCGGGCAGGCGGGAGTGACGGCCGGGTCACCCGGGTGGGGCCTCCGAGGCCGCCCCTGCCCTGCTCTCTGCTGGGAGCCTGCCGGACGCCAGCGTCTGGGGACCACTCCCTGCTGTGGCCCGGGCGCCGTCGCTCTGTGTTGCCCACCATTTCGAGCACACATGGGACGGCGGGATGGCAGTGTGGACGCACAGAGGCCTCCTGGGGCCGCGCTCATGTGCTGCCTCCTCTCTGCGCCTGGTATTTTCAGGCCTTTTGGAGCCATTCCCAGGCCTGTGTCATTTAATCTGTGCTTCAGCGGGGATCTTCTAGAAGAGTGGGTGTTCTGTGTGTCCGCCTGTCCTTGCTGTGCCTTACGGAGGCGGCAGTGACTCCCTTTGCTGTTGCCCGAGACCTAGTCTGTGTCTGAGGTTCCCTGATGCGTCGTGCTGCCGTCCGAGGGCCGCTCCCTTCAGACGAGGGCCCAGGAGGCCGCATGAGTCCTTACTGCCCGAGCCCCCCGCTGCTCCCCGGTTAGATCGCTTGCCCTGGTGGGCGTCTCACTTTCTGGATCATTCTGCTTGCTTCTGTTCCCCACTTCACGTCTGGAGGCTCTCTCTAAAAGTTGTGCTTGGATTCAGGGCTAACAACTTTTTTCTATTTTGAAACAAGCTTTATCTGTTTATTTTCAGTGTCATTGAGGTATAATTGGCAAATAAAGTCGTAAGGTACATGAAGTGCACACCGTAATGACTGGTGTTGGTGTCTTGGTGAGAGGAGCCCCACTGTCTGGTTGTTAACACGTTTTTTTCTTTCCTGTTTTGGTGAGAACACACGTCTGGGCTGCTAGCAGATTTCAGCAATCCTATGGGGTCATCGACTGTAGTCACCGTGTTTCTCATCAGAGAGCTTTGTAATAATAACAGGTGTTTGGTGGCGGGTGTGCTTCTCCCCATCCACGAGATCAGGACCACTGCACTGTCTGCTGGCCCTGAGGTTCTCTTGGGCCTGGCCCGTGGGCGAGGGTCGTCCTCGTGGACATCTGGGGCGGGACTGCTGCGAGCTGGGGAGGCTGTGCCTCGCGCCTCACCTGAGCCTCTCGAGGACTCGCGCCCTTTCTCCTGACCGCAGGTGGACGGCTTGTTCATAATTGGCTGGATGTACATGCCTCCTCACGATCCTCACGTGGATGACCCCATGCGCTTCAAACCCTTATTCAGAATCCACCTGATGGAGAGGAGGTCCGCCACGGTGGAGTGCATGTACGGCCACAGAGGGCCACACAACGGCCACATCCAGGTGAGTGAGTGCATGGGCTCCCTGACACGCAGCCGTGCATAGGCGGGGCTCCTGCATGCCTGTCTGGCCTGTGCATTGTGCGGGCTGCAGACCTGTGTCCGTGCAGAGCAATGGAAGCAGGAGGAGATGGGGCTCACCGCCCCCTCCCCCGTCCCCCCGTCTGCATGCATTGTTTACGTGTGGCCGGGATGCGCCTCCTCGGACTCACTGGGACCCCTCACCACTGCTGGGCTCCCTTGGAACTGACTCCTTGCTGTTCCGTGGCTCCTCTTCCCACGAGTATCAGCTTGGAGTGGGACGCTCTGCTCTCTGGTGTCAGTCTGGCAGAGGGCCACCCGATGGGGAGCGTGCTGGCTCACACACCAGGAAAGCACCAGGTCTTTTCGCTGCTCTGGGAACCCGGGGAGAATGCGAGTGCCTCTCGGGTGCACCCTCCTCTGAAAGGGAAGCACAGACCGGGGTGGGCCTAGCTCCGCCTTTGGACTGGCCACAGTTTGGTGGCATCGTGGACTCCTGTGGATGAGTGGGGTGTTGGTGGGGGGGGGTTGCTGGCACTGACCGTGGCTTCTCCTTCACCCCTTAATGCTCAAGATTGTGAAGATGGATGAGTTCTCCACCAAGTGCAACCAGACGGACCACCACAGGATGCCCGGCGGGAGGCAGGAGGTGAGCCCAGGCCCGTGGGCCCAAGCGCCACAGGGCGCCGTCTGAGAAGCCCGTGTGTGTGTGTGTGTGCACACGCGTGCTCTCAGAACCCCCTGAAGGGAAATAAGGCCCCTGTTTTCCCGAATCATGCATGTGGAGATGAGACGTAATGGAAATGCCTTCTTCATTTACAACGCTGTCATTTAACATTCCCTATTCGGGCACCCGTACAATATAGGCGACTGCTGTACTTCACGTTTAAGTGAAAACAGTGTGATTTCCAAGGACAGAAACTCCTCATCTGTTGAGCCCTTAAAAAGGCCATATAGTGCATTTCTGCAAAGACATTCTCTGGGACCAGAAACGATTCCTGTAGGGCAGCTGCTCTGCGGGCTCCCTGGGTTTGAAGTGGAGGGCGCTCCTGATGGTGCGTCGCACACGGGCCTGGGAACCAGAACCGCAAGTGACCGTAAGTCCGTGTAAAGGCTGGGCTGCAAGCTAGACTTCGATGGTGACATTTGTGCCGTGTGAGAGAGGCTCATGCGTGTGACAGGTCACGGGCCCCGCGGCCCCTCCTGTGACGCTCTCGCTCCCCTTTGCCTTTTCCCACTCTGTGGTCGTGTGTTCCTGGTGGGTGTGCACAGCTTCTATCCTGTTAGGAGAGGAACTCAACATCGGGGTTGCAGATATATTTTCTTCATTCATTTTTTATCTTTTGATTTATGTTATGTTTTTATCCAGGAGTTTTTTTAGTTTTAACTTTTATGCTGCTGCTGCCAGAAGAATCTCTGTTGGCCTGCTGGGCCTAAGGTCTGCCGGAGGCCTCTTGCCTCGTCCCACTGTCCCCGGCGCGTCTGCCAGGGACTTGGGTCCCCTCCCGGCCAGGAGAGGCGGTGGGGCAGGAGGTGCTGACTGTAGGCGGAGCAGAGGGCGGGTGCCTGGTGTCCCATGAGCCACCCAGAGTCCGGCGGCAGGGGAGCTTGCCGTCTGGCTGTGGCTACAATGTCCATCTCTGCTACCAGGTCTCGTGGCTGCTCCCCCTGCCAATCCCCATTGCTGGGCAAGTTGGGGGACAGGATTCATGGTTCACAGTCAGAGGTGTCTTCACTTGCCAGCCGAGGCTTCAGACCAGTGAGGAGCTCTGGGCTCCAGCGGGAGGACAAGGCGTGAGCTGCTGGTCCTGAAGGCTGCTGTCTAGGCTGGGCCTGGATTCGGGCGCCCTGTGCTCTGATGGTTGCTGCTCACTTAAAATTCTGGGCCACATGGAGCTTCCCGAGGGATCGTAGACCCCCAGTGGTGTGAGGGCTGGAAGGCGAGCAGGCCCTGATGAGGGGTGTCTCCGCCCCGGCCCTCTGGTGCCCAGGGCACTCTCTTTGGCTCCACAGGGGGCTTGTGGGGATGCTCCTCCCAGCCCTGGAGGCCGTGTGCTCTGAGAAACACTGGCCTCTGGTCCCCTTGGCCCTGTGCCCCTAAGAAGCGTTAAGGAGGTTCCTTTGGCCCCAGAAGTTGACAAATCATAGTTCTGATTGTTTGGTAAAGTGCTTTCGCCTCTGTGGAGTTGACTCTAGATAGTCATTAGCAAGTCAGGACCGTGTGTCATGGAGTTAAATGTATAGAATCAAGCTATTAAGCATTAAATATCCTTCATATTATTTGATTCTGTGATGAATTACTGAGTTTTGGGGATGTGGTGGTCATAAAAGCTCCCTTTTTATAAAAATAGTCATTGAACAGACAACATAACCAGGAAGGTACATTTTCAGGGGGAAGTCCTGCACCCCCACGCTGGCCGTGCTGTCTGGCCCCTCGGCTCCTCACTGGCAGCTGCAGGAAGCGGCTCTGGCAGCCCGGCCAGCGGGCCCCCCTGCGCTCGCGCCCTCCCGGGAGCCCGGGGAGCGGGCCCGGCACAGACGCCTCTGTCCTGGGGGCGCACAGCAGCGAGGCCCACGCAGCTGCTGCCCAGGAGCTCTGGTGGTGGGCTGTGGCTCCAGCCCTGCCTGTGGACCCCGTGGTCCCTGTTGCTTCCTCCTGGAGTCTGGGCCTGTGCGCCCTGGAGAGTGGGAGCCCGGAGCCCTCACGTTCCCCTGGAGGCATGCCGCCGCCCTTCCCGTCCCGTTCTCCCAGGGGGACGCTGGCGTAGGGGTGCCCCGGGTGTCACCCCAGCTCTGAAGCGCTGCTTTGTCCCCGTGGCACCACCACGGGCGGCTCCCCACACCCTGTGTCGTGGCGGTTGTCACAGCTCTGTTCTCTCGGAAGGAGTTCCGGACATGGCTCAGGGAGGAGTGGGGCCGGACGCTGGAGGATATTTTCCACGAGCACATGCAGGAACTCATCCTGATGAAGTTCATTTACACCAGTCAGTATGAGTAAGTGCGGCCTCTCAGTGCTGGGGCAAGTCCCCCTCTGTGGGTGCTGGGGGCTCAGTCCCCCTCTCTGGGTGCTGGGGCAAGTCCCCCTCTGTGGGTGCTGGAGGCTCAGTCCCGCACTGTGAGTACTGGGAGCATAGTTCCTGTTCCCCACCCCAGCGTGGTGTCTGTTTCCTATCTGATTTACCGTGGTTACCCCCCAGCAGTGTGCTCTAACAGGCCTGGCCTGGGTACCCAGCCTCAGGGCTGTCTCCCCATGCCCCCTGGGAGGCCTGCTTTCTCAGGTGTGTGCTCTGCTTTGGGCCCTGTCCCTGTGGCCCTTGCTCAGCCCCTTGTTCAGTAAATGTCCCAGGAAATGGGGCAAGGGCGGCATCTCCTTCCCTCTGAGAGCCCCCCACTCCATTTGCCTTGGGGTGCCTGCTGGAGTGGAGGAGCTCCGTGAAGCCCTGCTGGTTAGAGGTGTGAGGTGTGCAGTGCACGCTTGGGCTGGGGGTGTCCGTGACTCAGGAGCACAGGGTCCACCCTGCCCGCCCACCCTCCGAAGCATGGGAGGTGTGTGAGCCTGACCCCCGTGCGGCTCTGCCATGGCCTCACGCCACCGTCTCCTCTTGCAGCAACTGCCTGACCTACCGCCGCATCTACCTCCCGCCCGGCCACCCAGACGACCTCATCAGACCCGGTCTCTTCAAGGGCACCTACGGCAGCCATGGCCTGGAAATAGTCATGCTCAGCTTCCATGGGAAGCGTGCCAGGGGCACAAAGATAACGGTGCGTCCCGGGCTGCCTGGCGGAGCCTGCACTGTGTGGACCCGCTCAGACCAGCCTGGAGGAGCTGGGCGCGGGCTGCACGATGGCTGTTGGGTGGGCCCTGGGCCTGTGGTGCCGCCCTGCCAGGGATCTTTTTGGGGATGCCTATTCTGAGGCCCCCTGGGCCCACTCAGCCAGGACCTGCATCTCACACGGTCTCCAGGGGGTTGCGAGCATTTCCAAGGTGGCTTTTTACCCCATGGCGCTCAGCCCCAGCCACACACTCAAATCCCTGGGCCCCAGAGATTCTGGTCTCACGGGGGCAGCAGGGAGCCACCTGTGAGGTGCCACCACATTGGAAAGTCCTCTGTTGGTCCATGGGCCCTGCTGCTGTTCTGGCCTCCTCAGCTCATGGAAGGAGCTGGAGGGTGCTGAGCTGATGGGGACCCTGAACAGGCAGGCCTTTGCTGCCCACCTGGGGTGCCATGCACACACGTCTGCCTGTCTGCACAGCCATTGGTGTGTTTCTGACAGACATGCTCAAATCTCCTGAACAGACCACACCTGGGCCTCATTCTCCTAGGCCTGCATCGGCCAGGACCCCCCAGCTTTAGGGAAGGCCCCTGTAGAAGAAAGACCAGAACGGGGCACGCCCTGGCACACGGGGCTCTGTAGGGGCTCCAGACCATGTGGGACCACAGGGCCTGGCAGACCGGCGGGTTTAGATGTGGGGGTGTTTGTGTCCCAGGCAGGCTGGTCTGGGCTTGTGTCAGGCCTGCCCTGCCGCCTGGGCCTGGGGGTGTCCGTGGCTTTTTGGTCCACTCTTCAGGGCAGTTCCACAGCCTGCTTCGCCCGAGGGCCCGTGTGCAGGCGGGTCACCATGCTGGGTGCCTGTGTGCCCTCGTGAGGCTGCTCCTAGGCACTGCCCTGCCTGCCCTCAGTGTCCTTGCAGGCGCGGCTGCCTGCTCTAGGCACTGGATTTCTAGGGCTTCTAAAATACTTGTACGTGGCGAGGGGTCGTGGCTGAATCGGTAACGCTGGGAGAGCTCGTTGGGCCCGAGGCTTGATGGAGGCAGGAAACCACGCAGGCCATGTCCCTGCCGGTCTCTGAGCCCTGCTGACCGCTGGCCGCTGCTCCTCAGGGTGACCCCAACATCCCCGCCGGGCAGCAGACAGTGGAGATCGACCTCATGCACCGCATCCAGCTGCCCGACGTCGAGAACCTCCGCGACTTCAACGAGCTCTCCCGCCTCGTCCTGGAAGTCCGCGAGCAGGTGCGGCAGGAGCAGGAGGAAGCCAGGCCAGACGGCGGCGAGGGCCGCGGCCATCAGAGCCCCCGAGAGCCCCAGGGCCCCGCACCTCCCAGTGCAGAGCCACCCACCGAGAAGGGCAGGGGGCCGGGGGAAGGAGCGGTGGTGGCGGTGGCTGAGCAGCCTGCCCAGTCCGGGCAGGGGCAGCAGTTTGTGCTGCCCATGGGTGTGAGCTGCAGGAACGAGGACTACCCCCGGACCTGCAGGATGTGGTAAGGACCAGGCGTTCAGGTGGGCGTGGCCACGCCGCGGTGGGGGTGGGCGTGAGGTGGAGCAGCTCCATGATAGTTGCCCCAGGGGTCCCCGCCTGGTGTGAGTGGGTGGCGCTGTCCCGTGTGCCCTGGGCACAGGTGCCTTCACACTGTGGAGGCTCATGTCTCTCACCGTGGGGGCTGTCGGCACTGCCAGGCCTCCTCCAGACGCCTTGTGCCGCAGAGCTGACCGGGCAAAAGTGGGGGGCTGGGTGGTGCACTGAGGAGGACTCTCCTGTGGACATCCTGCGTGGGCTCACTCCGCTGTCCTCGTAGCTGAGGCCTGTCCACAGGGAGGGAGATAGCGTGGCCAGCCCCTAACTGCTCACCATTGGCCAGGAGTCCCCCTTCTGTGCAAGGAAGACAGGGAATGAACATCAGTCTGGTACTGGTCTTGAAGCTCGGCCGTAGCGGGTATTTACACGTTCTGCCCTCTGGGTTTCTGTCACTTGCGTGGCGATGAGTATTGATATTTGAGTGGCTTGCGTGCTGACCTAAGGTCCTAGGGATTGAGAGTTCTGATACCTGGGGCTGGGCTGCTCTCTGGCCGTGTGTGCTCCGGGGCAGCCAGGAGGGGTCGCTGCCGAGCCCCGCACTGCCTGCCGGTTCCTGGCCTCCTGCCTGCCGGCAAGCTGCGAAGGTGCCCGTGGGCTCCATCCAGCCCTCACCCCCCTCCCTCGGCCTTCCCCCCTTTTCAGTTTTTACGGCACTGGCCTCATCGCCGGCCACGGCTTCACCAGCCCTGAGCGCACCCCTGGGGTCTTCGTCCTGTTCGACGAGGACCGCTTCGGGTTCATCTGGCTGGAGCTGAAATCCTTCAGTCTGTACAGCAGGGTCCAGGCTGCCTTCCGGAACGCGGAGGCCCCGTCCCCGCAGGCCTTCGAGGACATGCTGAAGAACATTCAGTCCCTGACCGCCTGATGGCCCACGCCCTGGGCACAGGGCGGCTCCCCGGGCTGTGGGCCCGGCGCCCTGGGGACGGAGCAGCATGTCCTTCAGCGATACGGCCTCTGGCCAGGACACCTGCCCTCCTGTCGGGGGCTCGGCCAGCTGCCCGGCACTTGCTATGGAGCGTCAGTGTGTGTCTGTGTGTCTGTCAGGAGCTGACGGGAAGCAGACTGAGCGAGAGAGAGAGAGAGCCAGTCTGACCTGGTCTGGATGCCCGTCATGGGGCATGAATGACAGTTGTAGAGACTGGGTTTGTCCTTGGCCTGGTGGGGACAACAAAACCCTCCTTCAGGGAAGCTGGTGATACAACAGTGGGTCTGTCCCTCTGGCCTGATAAGGGGTGGTGTGTGTGGTGTGCCAGCCCCACTGCCTGCTCTGGGGGGGCATCGGGGGCTGGGCACAGGGCTGTGGGAAGCTGAGTGTGTCCCTGCAGCCCAGGCAGGTTAGGGGGGCAGTGTGTGTGCAGGGGGAGCTCTGGGAGGTCGGGGGTCGCCTTGGGACTCTGCATTGAGTTCCTGTTTCTCTACTGACTTGGAGTTTTGACAGCATTTCATCCTGACCTCAGTTTCAGCTTCAGTGAAATGGGTCAGCAATACGGATCACCAGAGATCGCCACTGCAGGCCTTCCAGCAGCCTGGAGGCTGTGTGGACACAGCCCTCTGTGCCTGCCCTGGCCTGTCCAGCTTCGGAATCAAGACCATTGCTGCGGTCAGTTCCAGACGTGGTGTTCATCTTGCACACACCCTCCTTTGCCGTTCCTTGCACACATCTGGTGTCAAAACCCTGAGCTGTAGCTACTTGTCACAGAACTTGTCCCAAAGCAGGACAGACCACTCCAAGATGGCTCTGCGTGGGCTCCGTTCACGTAGTTTACACAGGCGCTGTTCCTGGAAGCGTGAAAACACTTGTAGTGGTTGCACGAAACGACTGTGAAGCCCCTTTGCCGAGAGAGGGCAGCTTTCTAGGACGTCGGCCCCCACGCATGGCGTGCGCTTTGGAGACCAGGGCCTCTCAGGGACCCTCCGGCATGGAGACCCCCAGCGCTGACCCTTCCACTGGCGCTGTGCTGACCTTGGCATTTGGGGGCCCCTATAAGCTCTCTGCTTATCTTAGTGTCACCTGAAGAACAGAGCCCCAAATGCACGCAGACCCCCCGAGGCAGCAACCGGGCTGCAGCCTGCAGAGCCCTCCGCGCACGCACCTTCTGTGGTGCAGGGCAGACCTCGTCGCCCTCTCTGCTGCTCGCCCTTGTCGGTGGGCTGTGCTGAGCCCTCATGGCGGGGGCGAGGGGCCCAGGGGAGGGTGTCGCCTGTGGTGCCTTCGTGGAGAGACTAACCTGAGATGTCCTGTGAGACATGCCCTGTTTTCCTGATCAATTTCCCTGACTGGCCTTTTTGTAAAATTAAAGATTCCCATGTCCTGGCTTCGGTACATCTGGCAACTTCGAATTTCCTTTGCTTCCCACAAATCATCGAATTGGTGAGCTCTGGGGCATGGCCTGTAAGTGGCAAACCTTCCAGGAGGTTCTGTTGGGAGGCGGAAGGAGGGTAGCAGAGAAGGTGGGTCCCTGCCGGGCAGGACCTGCAGGCAGGTTGAGGCGAGATCCCAGCCCCCACACCCTTGGTGGGACTGAGCCCCCCGCCTCCCGCGCCCGCCCGTGGTTGTGCCACTGGCCTCTTGTGCTGAGTGTGGCCGTCACTGTCCAGGGGGAACTGTAGCCATGAATCCTCCAGGGAAAGCGGAGTCAAGGGCAGCTGGGCATGCGGGCTCTGCTCTTCAGACTTCACTGCTGTTTAAGTAAAATCGAGAAAATATGTATTCTTTCCCTGTGCTGGGGCTTGCTCTGTGTACCCCCGTCTCTGGGCGAGGCCTCCCTTTAGTCCTGTAAACCACATTGGGGGTGAAGATGAGCATTTCTGATTAACAACCAATCTCACCTAAATGATGGGCCCCACCTCTAGTTTTTGGGCCTATACACGGTTTCCATCAATAGTGACTAAAATAACTCCAGGCTGTTGGCTGCGCTCTCATTGGCCCTTGTCTCTGGTGTCGTGGGTGGGGGAACCCAGGGCCTGTGGGGTCCACCCAGCTGGCAGCAGCCTGGGCAACACGAGCAGGGCCCGAGATGAAGGGCAGGGGCTTGTCGGCAGCACAGCCGGGCGTGCAGGGCACATGTTTTCCACTCTGAGGGTGTCCTCAGCCAGCTCTTGGCTTCTGGCTCAGCAGGGGCTGTACAGGGACCACAAGAGCCCAGCACCAGCAGGCGACCCTGTGCAGGGGAAGCAACGTCCAGACGGCTAACTCACTGTGGTTGAGGAGCCGGGAAAGCTGAAGGCACGGCCTGATGCCTGCGGGCACCTGGGGTTTTGGTGGAGCAGGACCCACCAAGGAAGCTGGATGATCCAGTTCAGGGACCGGCTGTACCACGTGGAGCATGGTGTGGGGAAGTGACAGGTGCATCTAGAGGGGCTTTGGGCATTTTCCCGTCGTTGGCACCACCTGCCCTTGCCTCTTGGCTCCCAGCTGTTGGAGGAGTGTGTCGTGGTTTGGAGCAGAGCAGCTCAGGTGCACGTGCACACCTGGGGGTGCCCCTCCCTCCTGCACCTCTCACCCCAGCGCCTGCATCCCTGGCAAGTCCTGCCGGCCAACACACAGGGTGGGGCGTGCACACAGTGTAACTCTAGCGACGTACAGGCCAGGCTTCCATCTGGGCTTCCGCAGAGCTGGCTCAGACGTGGGGTCTGTGTGCCAGACTTCCTCTTTTCCAGCTGCTTGGAGTTCACTGCTCGGCCCAGGCAACACCCCTCCCTTGGCCAGTGGGTCCTCTGATTAACAACCTATCTTCCCCCACATCCCGTTTACAAAAGTAGTGTTTTTGTAAAAAACCAAATAACATAGAAAGTGAAATCACTTCACATTCACATCCAGCCACATAGGCAGAGCTGAGGGGTCATGGCTGGGTGCCCTCCGTGGGGTTGGTCTCCCAGCCCTACCATCCCCGAGGTGTTGGGCTGAGGGACACAGGCCTGAGCTTCCTTTGTGCTCATGGAAGTTGTGGGGCCTGGCCCGCCGGGAGGGGTCACTGCAGCCTGACCTCTAGTGCGGTTTAGGGTCACTGCATGTGTGTGACCCCAGCCAGCAAGGTGCAAACAAATGCCACTGGGTGGTTTTCAGACCTCTGCTCCTATTTTGAGTTAAAAATCTACAGGCTGCCACCATCCTGGGATGGTTGTCAGAAACCTCCGGCCCGTGGGTGCCTGCGCTCTGCTCTGCCCGGCCCTGGGGTGAGCGGATGGGAAGGAGGCACAGACCACACCGGATGTGTGTGCAGGGCCCAGAGGGAGGCCTGACAAGCAGATCTGACATCCAGCCCAGACAGTCTCCCCCGAGGGCACGCACACCCGGCCCAGGCCAGGCCGTGGGGAGCCAGCCCAGCTGCTGCCTCCATCTGCATGGACTGGGGGGTGCCTCAGTCCCCGAGAGTCCTGGCTGCCAGCATGGAGTGGACTTCTCCACGGGTGCCGCTCACCATCTGGGGCCAGGTGATCCCGTGCACTGTGGGGTGCTGAGTGGCATCTGGCCTTCCCCACTGTGACAACCAAAAATGCCTCCAGACGACACGGCTGGCACTGGGGACACAGTAGTGGACAAGCAGCAGACAGTCTCACAGGTCACAGCACAGAGCACCCCAAAGGGCTTGGCCGACCTCCCCTGAGCCCTCGGGGCCCTGCATCAGGGTGTGGGGTGTCCAGGGCCATGCTGCAAGCAGGCGCATAGGACATGTGGGTGAGTGAGGTGATGTGCTCACCTGTCTCCCTCTCTACCCCGGAGGGGTCTCTGCCGTGCTCCAGTCGTGGCTCCTCCGTGGTACCACCACCTTCCCTGGCATGTTTTGCCTGATCCCCGTGGTCAGGCGGCAATGGCTGTTGTGTGAGTAGCAGATGCTAGGGAGCGGGGTGGCTGTGAGGCTGACCGCCAGGGAGCGTAGTTGGAGGGGCTGCCTGCCCAGCCCTACTGAACTGTGATCTCCAGGGAGGGGAGCCCCCAGAGGATGAAGCACTGAGCGCCCGAAGCGTCCCCCCAAGGATCCTGGTGCTGCAGCAGAGCAGCTCAGCTGTAGCTGTCGTCATTGCTGCGTAACGAATACCTCCTTTTCCAACATCGCTTGGGAAGAGGATTCCAGAGAAAACACCACAAGGAGTATGATTTTAAACAAACGTGTCCTTTGCATCTTAATTAAAGAGGGCCGAGCTGCCCTTTGTTTTCTTGGTTAGGTTTTTGAGGTGTAACTTATCTACAGTAAATGTTTAGTGTGTGCACATTTCCTTGAGTCGATCAACACATGCAGCTGTGAGGAAGCCCCACAATCAGGATGCAGAATGTCCCATCTCCTTAAAAATCCTGGGTGCTGCCCCCGCCTGTGACCGCTCTTCTCTGTCCCTGTGGTTTTCGGTTCCAGGATGTCAAGTAAACAGTCACACAGTATGTTAAGTATATAGCTTTTCCAGTCTTTCATTCAGCAGAGTTGCTCAGCCTTTTTCATTATTGTCTCCCTCAGACGTTTTTCTTCTACTACTTCCTGTGAAATTCGGCCACCACAGATGTTCCTGTATCGTATGCGTTTGTGTGGGTCTGTGTGCGCACACGTCTGTGCTTGTGGACACACAGCCACGGACCTGGTGCCCCCGTGTCCTGCCGGCCTGGTGAGGCTGGGGCTCGTTCTGACCCCACCCCCGACCCCACTCCTGAGCCCCTGGAGATTTCTGAGCATGCTCAGAAGGCAGAGTCGGAGCGCTTCCCTGAGGTGGCTGTGGGGACCGTTGCAGCGTCAGTAGGGCCTGGGAAGTGGCCAGACCGGGTGAGCAGCTGTGGGCACCTGGGCCTGGGGTCGGGGAACAAGGGAGAAGAGCTGGACCTTAGATGTGATTCTGCCCCTGCCTTGTGTCTTGGGGGGCCCACCTCACGGAGCTGCTGTGGCCGCTCAGACACGGGCTCAGGGCTGCTGCCATCCCCGGCTGGGAGCCCAGGCGGCAGGCGGGCAGGCCAGCCCTGCTGTCGTCAGAGAACCGCGGCCGAGCACTCCTGTGGGCCAGGGCTGGGGAGCCTGGGGGGACCTGGAGCAGAGCTGCCTGCACTGCATGGATGGCTCTCGTCACCATGGAGCTTCTCCCTTGTTGCCAAGTTCCACAGTTCTGTTGGGAGGTGGGCCCCGGGGCACCATGGGTGGGGAGGACTTGGGAGGAGTCCCCTTCTAGAGGACGCCTCAGCGATCTCGGGGAAGCCCTGGGATGCGGGTGGGTCCTCGGCATCAAGTGACAGGCACGTGGGAACGGACAGACTCCCGATGGGCTGCTGGGCTGGCACTCTGTCCCTCACAGCGCCCTGGTGACAGCTGGATGGTGACAGCAGCACTGCGTTCCCCCCCCGCAGACTGTCGGATGCAGTGAGGCAGAAGGGGAGGCCAAGATGCTGACCTCACACAGCACGCTCGCCTCTGGAGAGAGCCAGCACGTCAAGGCTGGAGAGGTGGGGAGAGCTGGGCGTCGAGGAAGCTGGAGGTCCCACAAGGAGAGGGTAAGGGTTTAGGGCAGCTGACTTCCCCAGTGGGGACTGGTCACATATGCAGGGCCCCAGTCTGGGTGGAAAACAGTCCTGCCTCCAGGTGCCACCATGCACAACACAGGGCACTGGGTGCGGACAGCATCTTGACCCAAACCGCTTCTTGGCTGGGGCCGGGAGGGATGCTTAACCGCCAGAGACCCCAAAGTGCCTCTGATGAGGGACTCACGAGTTTTAAAATTATAGTTCTTTAGATTTTACTTAAAAATCTCATTTATACTTAATGCCTGGGACTTAGATTTGTATGACTCCTTTTCTATGCCTTCTACGGATCCGTCGGGCGAGCTCATCTTGAGATAACAAGCCAACCTCAAAACAGAATCACAGCTTTTTAGTTTTCTGGGTTAGCACTAACGTGCTTTTGTAGTGACATTCTCAGAGATACGGACACGGAAACGTGTGAGTGACCCGGGCAGCACTGTGCGGTGGCTGGTCTTTGTGGAGCACTGGGTCCTTGTCTCGGTGGCCAGCTCTATCGAGTGGCACAAAGGTGTCCCCACTCTGCCCACGGCCCAGAGCCTGCAGAGGGTCGACTATAGCTCCTAACCTCGTTGGGAGGGGGGACAGGCCCTTTGCCTCCTCTGAGAGGTTCCAATCTCAGGGAGATCCAGAGGCAGGAATAGGGGCTGAGAGCACCCCGCGCCCCTGCTGTGGTGTTCAGACCCGACCTTCGCCTTACCTGCAGTGCCTCAGTCCCGCTCACTCCCTACAGCCGCCCAGGGGTTTTAAAGCTTTCGTCAGTATTTTTGTCAGGTTGCTCAGTCTCACGCGGCTGCAGCTGGCCACCCTCACCATGTGCAGGAGTGACTGGTGAGAGCCCACCTCTGCTGCCAGCTCTCCGAGGGCACGGCTGGCCCTGGGTTCTGTCCCAGGCACATATGCAGGCAGCATAACACTTTGTGATAATCTGAATGAGCCCTTCCAGGATGTAGGTGGTGGTCAGAGGGGTGGCAGGAAGGGGTTGTCTTGATTGGGTTCCCCTCAAAGGCAACCCTGAGATGGAGATCTGCAGTTTATTAGGGAGAGGATCTGGGAGACAGGCTGTGGGATGTGAGATGGGGAGTCAGGAAAACAGGGCGACACGATGGACAGCTGGGGTCCAGCCCCGTGGGGGTGCTGGGTGACAGCATGGAACATGCCCCAGTTGTGCTGCCTGCAGAGCGCAGCAGCTTGGGTGCTCATCCACCTTCCCATCGCTGCTGAGGGCTGCGCCCAGGGGCATCACTCCCCGACACTCCTGGCCTGCCCCCAGGCGCGGGCCAGGAGACCCTGGGGAGCAGGAGTCTTTGCTGGGCAGACAGCAGTTGGCAGACATGTGAGTGTTGTGGGGGGATGCACAGGTGCCAGCCACGCCTGCTGCAGGGCCCGCTGCTTCTCTGTGGGCTTCTAGCTAGGTCGACAGCCCCCTCTGGTCTGCTGGCTCCTGCTGCCTGGGTGTCAGGCTTCCACAGGGTCGCCATTAGCCCCCGGGCAACAGCAGGGCCTGTAAGGTGCGAGTCCTATGAGGTGGCCCCTTGGAGCAGGTGCAGGGGCCCAGGTCAAACGCAGGCGGAATGCCAAGCCTGACTCATGCGCTCAGCGAGGGCCCCTGGCGGCGAATGCCCCGTCCTAACGCTCCCGTCGGCCCAGAGCTCCCTCTGCTGTGCCTCCAGCTGCCTGGGGGCTGCGGAAACAAAAGCCTGGCAGACAATGTTTGAAGATCACAGGCTTCTCGGTCCCCCTTCCTTCCCGAGGCTGTGGCGGTGTGCAAACCCCTGCTTAAAGTGGGAAGAATAAGGGAAAAGAGAGGAAAAATGAACCGTTCTCCCACACTCACTCAAGGCAGTGAACGTGCACAGACACCCCACGCCTGGCTGTCTCTTACGCACTTTCCACACTCTGGTTGTCAGTGTTTTTATAGGTGAAACTGAGCTTGGAAACGTTAGGTGGCTTGCCTGATACAGTAAGAGGGAGGCGGGGACTGGAGTCTGGCCCTTGTTACCGGGACCGCCGGGGGCGGGGCGCGCGGGCTCCGGGACCTTTGGCTCCCCAGCTGGCCTGGCCATCAGTCTGCTCTCACGGCTTTGAATCTCATTCTCATGGAATCACGGGTGCTGCGGGCGCTTGCTGCTTTGTGTGTTTCGTCCACACTGTTGTGGGTCGTGGTTGTGTGATTGTTCATCATCATCTAGTGTTCCTTCATGTGAAAATGCCATTAATTCTTTTAAAGATCATTGCTCCTATAGATGGATATTTGGGTCATTTCCAGTTTGGAGCTGTTCAAAGAGTTGATATGGATGTTTTTGTCCATGTCTTCTCGTGGACATAAACTCTCACTTCTCTTGGGTGTATTCCCAGGCAAGGGACTGCTTGATTACAGAGTATTAACGTTTAGGTTTTGCAAATACTGCCAAAACAGTAGTCCAATACGGCTGTATCAATTTCATGAGCAATGTAGCAGGGTTCCAGCTGCCTCAACCTCAACAAACTTGGTAGTTAGTCTTTTTAATTTTAGCTATTCCTGCGGTGGGGTGGGGATGGTGATGACCTATTCTTAACATGAAACAGCAAGACAGTGTCCCAGTGGTAAGGGCCAGCGCTTCCAGGGGACAGGGAAGCCAAAAGTGCTCCAACTCAGGCAGAGACAAGGCAGCTGTAAGTGAAGTGCCAGGCTAACGGCGAGATTCCTGGATGATTTTGTCATTAGCTGTAAGGGACCTGTGACAAAATCTATACACACACATATTCAGAGAGAGAGAGATGTTTGAAACATCTGGCAGGCGACAGGGTAGCGGCTCTGCCCAGCGAGCACCGTTAGGCAAGGAAGGCATGCCTGTGTGTCCTGGCTCCAAGCTCAGCCTGCGCGCTAAGGTCCTGACCTCAGTGGTTAGGTATCAGAGCCAAGAAATCCGAGCAGTGCCCAGGAGCACCTTGTTTGCTACAGTTCCTTAGGATGGGCTGGGCAAATAAAGTCACTGAGAGCATAAAGTCAGCATGAAAATACTGAAAAGTGGGGAGAAACTCCTTTCCAAGAAATACAAATTGGGAGTCTGTGATAAGCTAAAGCAACATAGACGGAAACCAAAGACATACATCTTGCCTTTAGGTCAGCAACCGCCCAGAGTACTGAGCACAGGAGGAGGGCGGTGAAGGGGAGGTTAAGGCTGAAAATACAAGCAGGATGTTCCAAATTCCACCGCCTTTTAAACCCCAGCTTGCTCGAGAAATACCTATTTTTCTAAGTCACAACTTGAGCCCATAGGGCTGCCAGATGGAGCAAGGGAAATGCGGCGCGCAGTTAAACCTGAATTTCAGAAAAACGAGCTACTTTAAATGCAAGGATGTCCCAAGTACCGCGTGGGACCTACTCGTACGGAGCTGCTTCGCGGTGCCCCAAGACCAGCCTCGGCCCGTGCCCGCGCACCCCGACCGACCGGAAGGCGGGGGCGCGGCTCGCACCTCAACTCTCCTTCCAGGGAACAGAGACCCCCAATGGGGCGCCCCACAGGCCCCTCCAACGGAAATGGCGAGTAGGCGTTCCCGGCTCCGAGTAGGTGGGCTTCGGGGACAACCCAGGGACCGTAGGATATTCCCTGCGCGGGGCCTCACCTCCGCTCCGCCAGGCCCACCGCGCTGACCCGTCAACCCGCGGACCCTGGGGCCCTACCGTCGGGGACCCATCAACCGCCAGATAAGTGCCCAGGCCTAGAAGGCGATTGCTTATTGGCTGAGTGCGTGTCAATCAGCGGGGCGAGGGTGCCCGCAAAGGCCGGAAGGGGCGTGTCCCGTGCGGGCGGAAGGGGCGGTCCCGGGCAGCGGCCGGCTGGCGGCGGGGTTGAGGCTGCTCCCGGGAGTAGGGGCGCGCAGTGGGCAGGCCTCGCGCGCTTCTCCATCTTCGCGGTGGTCTCCGTCGCCTGCGTTTGGTAGCGGCCGGGCGGAGCTGCGGCGCGCTCTGCCGGGAGCCCTGCGGCGGCCGGAAGCCCTGTCGGCACGCACTCGTCCGGAGCGCGTCGGACGGGCCAACGCGCGCCGGCGTCCTGCCCGTCGGGCTTATCGCCCCGCCGCGGCGGCGGCTCGCACCGCGGCGACCGGGCAGAGCCCGCGCCTGCACAGCCGCCAGCGCCCAGGCAGTATCCCGTCCCACCGAGAGCCTCAGGGCTGCGTCTTCAGGCTCGGCCGCACCCACGTGCGCAAGGACCGCGGCCCGGGACCCCGTCTATCAGCCCCGCTCTCCTGGGCGCTGGCGTCCCTCCTGGAGAGAGCATGACCGCCGAGACCGTCACCGCCACGGGAAAAGCGATTCTCTTTCCCGGCGATATTAGAACGAAGGAGTTTAACCCAGAGAGCGTTTCCCTGGGGGACCCCGGGTGATGATACCGTGCGGAGCCGGTCCCTGCACCACTGGCCTCGCCTGCACGGCTGGAAGTGGGTCCGGCCCACCTGCAGTCACCACCCGAGCGGGGTGGCCCCTGGGAGGGCCGTGCTGTCCCTACCAGCTGCGCAAGGCACCAATCACCCCTCTTATCTGTTTTCAAGCACAGCTGGCCGAGCTGAGCTCGGTGACCTGAAGATACTGTGTAAGGAAATAGCAATGATATTTAATGAAACACAGAAACACTGTGTCACTTGTATCACTTTGTGGTGCCCATGTTACAAAACACTTGACAGGTCACTGTCCCAGACACCCGGCTTTGTTCTGTGTTGGATTTATGCGCCCTGGAGACTATATGGCCAACATCCTAGCGTTTGTTGGTGGGAGAATGGGGAAGACTGTTAACAGAGTCTGTGTAGCCCCAAATGATTCTCATCCCAGAATCAACGCGTCCACGATTTTATGCTGGAAGGAGTTTCAGTAAATGTACACTTTCGACAATGTTTCCTTCAGTTTTGTAAGTAAGCTCGGGGGTGTCTGATAAATCACAGGTGCGGTGGTTGGCAGCTCCATGTCTCGGAAAGTTCTTCCCCTGTTGGAATGTTCTTGTCTCTCCTAAGGGCCTAGCACAGCTCCAGGGGAGTGTGCCTGAAGCAAGTAGATCCGAGGACACGGTTCTGCAGCAACCCGATACCTGGGAGCTCCCAGACATTAGCTCGTGAACCTGCAGTTGTCCCCGCATACCCCCTCTTAGGCTCAGAAAGTGACCCTGTTCACCGAGGGTTTTAATGATACCATTCAAGAAGTTCCCAGAAGGCTTTCCTCCCCCAAGTTTACACAAAGCCTGGAGCTTTTTCTAAGCCTTATGTTCTTCTTTTTTAGGAAGACACATTTCAAACCTTTGGGAAAGAAGTGTGTCTCATAGATCACTTGGTAAGGAAAGCAAACTGTCAGCTACTTTGCCCTAATCCCAAAACGCCCCGGTGGGTGTGGAGAGCAGAGAAGGGGCCCAGAGGCAGCATATCATTAGTGGGTGTGTCGGACCTGGGAGCTGTGGTTACAGGGCCTCACTGACCCCCAGGCTTGGTGTAGGGCCACCCACTGCCTGTCCACAGCCCGGAACTCCTCAGGACACACCGAGAGGGGTTCGGGAGGCCGGGGAGAACCGTTGCTGCCCCTACTGTAACTGCTGTGGGCATCGGCTTCTTCCTCTGTCTGTGGGCAGGATGACTACCCCTCCCCTCGCCTGTGGTTTTGGTGAGGATCACATGGGAAGGATATGGAAGCCTTTGCAAACGTAAAGCCCTATATGAGTACTGACAGAGAACCCCCAAAAAAGCAGTCATCTCCCACCAGAACTGTGCTTCCCAATTTTCAGAGGGGAATGGACTCACCCGCAGTAACATGGCAGTTGGGATGTGAGTCCTAGCACACTGGTCTGCACGTTCTGGTGGTCGCCCCAGAAGGCTTTGAGGGGCCAGCCGAGGTAGCCTGCCACTTCTGAGCTGCCATGGGAGCCGAGGCCCCTGTCTCTGCCCCCTAATACCTGCCTCAATGCCGGCTCCCTCTGGGCCTTGGTTTAATTGTTCCAGAGAGTTCCCTGGCTCACACTGCAGTGTACCATCATCTCCAGTTCTCTCTCTCCAGGCTCCCGCTCAGATGTGTCCTGTCTACAGCACCGCTCATGACGAGCCCGTCTGCTGTGCATGCCAGATCAAATTCGGGGGCTGCCTGCCAGGGTCCAGGGCTGAGGCAGTGCTGCCGTACTGGGTTCCTCTGTCCCTGAGACCCCAGAAGCAGGTAGGTGGCTCGAAGCAGCAGATCTTCACCTGGGTTCAGGGTGCACTTCCAGGGACCAGTCACCCTTCAGAATCATAAGTATTATATGAATGTTATTTAAAAATTTCTGGGAAGTAGTTTGTGTCTTTTCTTTTTTGACTGGATTTTTTAAAAAGTAGACCTAGAGGGTTATGAGTGACACACATGTAAGTGTACAGTTTGCTGAATCTTGGCATATGTATATTCCTATGAAACCATGGCTGAAATTGAGCTGGTGTACATACCACAACCCTAAAAGGCTTTCCGGTGCCCTGTGTAAACCCCCCCACCCCCAGCCCTCCCTACCCCGCTGTCCCCAGGTAGCCACTGATCTATTTCTGATGCCATAGAGGAGTCTGTGTTTCTGTCATGTTACACAGATGGAATCGTGAGTGTGACCTGCTTGTCTGGCTCCACTCAGGATGATTATTTTTAAGATTCATCCACGTGGTCGTGTGCATCTGTCCTCTTTAGAGCCGTGTGGTGTTTCATTGTACAAACAGACCCGTGTACCCATTCATCAGTGAGGACTTCTGGGTCATATCCCAAGTTTTGTCTGTCACAGATAAAGCTGCTGGGAGCATTTGTGTACGCGTCTTTGTGTGAGCATGCCTTCATTTTTCTTGGGCGAATACCTAGGAGAAGAATTGCTGGGTCATATGAGTAGTATATGCTTAACTTTTTAAGAAACTCAGCTGTTTTCCACAGTGGCTGTATTTTTTACATTCCTTCCCACAGTGTATAAAGTTCCAGGTCCTCTATGTCTTCATTAATGCTTGCGTTGGTGTGGCTTTTTAATTTTAGCCATTTTAATATGTGCATCTCATTGTAGTTTTAACTTGTATTTTTATAACGACTTAATGATGTTGAGCATCTCTTCATATGCTTTTGCCATCTGCATATCTTATTTGATGTGTAAGAGTCCAAAGATTTTTCCCATTAGAAAAATTGTTTTTTTTATTACTGAATTTTGAATTCTTTATATATTCTGGATATAAGTTCTTTATCAGATATTCAGTTTGCAGATATTTTATCCTTATCTTTGGCTTGTGCTTTTTTATTCTCTTATCAGTGTCTTTGAAAGAGCAGAAGCTGTAAATTGTGATCAAGTCCAGTCTGTCAGTCTGACCTTTCCTGCATCTCCTGGTGTGCCTGCCCCCAGTACAGCAATGGATTATGCTTTCTGAGCATTTCGGAGAAGTCTTTGCCTATCGAAGGGTCAGAAAGCTTAGGAGAAGACTTTCTTCTAGAAATTTTATAGTTCACAGTTTATGTTTAGGTCTGTGGCCCATTTTGGGTTAATTTTTGTGTATTGCATAAGGTATGCATTGGAATTCATTTTTTGCATATGGATGTGCAGTTATTCTAACACCATGTGTTGTAAAGATCGTCTTTTCCACTGACTTGTTTTTGCACCTTTGTCAAAAATCGGTTGTCCACATACATGTGGGTCTGTTTCTGAACTCTGTTCTGTTCTGCTAATTATCCGCCTTCATGCCAGTACCATTCTGGAAATAATAGTGTTAATTCTCCAATGTTGTTTTTCCTTTTCAAAGTTGGTTGTTCTAGGTTCTTTGCATTTCCATGTGAATTTTAGAATCAGTTTATCGATTTCTACAAAAAGGTCCTACTGGGATTGTGATTGGTGTGCGTCTGGATCCATTTGAAGAGAATTGTCTTTTTAACAATATGGAGGCCTCTGACTCACAAACATGGTAGTCTCTGTATTTAAGTCATTTTTAATATTTCTTAGAAATATTTTGCAGTTTTTAGTGTACTAAAAGTTGTTTAGTTGAATACCTTTTGTAGGATCTATCCATAAATATTTCATAGTTTTGATGACGTTGTTTTTGGAATTTAATTTATGATTGTTCATTGCTAGTATTTAGAAATGCCATTGATTTTTGTGTTTTGATCTTGTATCTCACCATGTTGCTAAATTCATTCTAATGCTTTTTAAAGATTCTGTCAGATTTTGTACAGAGATGCCCATGCCATCTGCAGACAGAGATAGTTTTCTTCTTTTCCGATATGGATGCTTTGTACTTATTTTTCTTGTTTGATACACTGGTTAGAACTTCCAGTGCACTGCTGAGCAGGGTGGGGAGACAAGCATCCTTGTCTTTTTCCTGATCTTAGTGGAACAGCTTTCATGTTTGCACCGTTAAGTCTGTCAGCTGTACGTGCCCTCTGTCAGGCTGAGGGGGATCCCCTTCTGTTCCTAGTTTGCTGAGAGTTTTTATCAGAAACAAATGTTGGGTTTTTCCTGTGTCTCTTCAAGTCATCCTGCAGTTTTTCTGTTTTGGTTTGTTAATATGATGACTTACAATGATTGGTTTTCAAAAGGTAAGCCAACCTTTCCTAGGATGAGCCCCATTTAATCGCAATGCATTATCCTTTTGAGATATTTGACGAGAATTTTTTATATCTGTGTTCATGAGGGATCTCGAGCCACATTTTTCTCGTAATGCCTTTGTAGAAGGAGTGTGTGACAGGCCCTCCCGCTCTCTGAGGGTGTCGTGTAGAATTGACGTCGCTTCTTCCTTGAATGTGTGGTGGGATTTACCTGTGGAGCCATGTGGGTCTGGAGCCTGCTGTGTGGGAAGGTTTTCACCTACAGATTTAATTTCTTTCATTGCTACGGAGCCATCCCAGTTATCTGTTCTTCTTCAGGGAGCTCTATTTCAAGGAATGTGTCCATTGCATCACTGTCGAATTTATTGGCCTGATGTCCTTGCACCGCCCTTCAATATCAGTAGACTCTGTAGTGATGTCATCTCTCTCACTTCCTGTTTTTTAATAAACTCTCAGAGGGGTCACTGGCTTCAAGATGACTGTCACCTTGTTCTGGGCAGTGATGACAGCCTCATCCCCTCCAGCTGCTCATGTACCATCTGAGTGGGCAGGGCAGGTGTCACTCTAGCCCTTTAGCGGATGGGCACGCTGAGGTCCAAAGAGGGACAGGGGCTCAGCTCACACAGCCACAGATCAGGGATTGGAAGCCGGGGCTCCGGCCCTGAGTCCAGGGCTCTCCGCCTGAGCTGTGCTGCTGGGCGTCAGGGAAGAGGGAGCCCCGTGCAGGATGGAAGGCACATAGGAGTCAAGGTGCCCAGCATGCCCCACGGGGTGACTGCTCGGCCTCCTCGCTCGCCTCCCTTCCTCCATCCTCTCTGGCTCTGACTGTCCATTTCTGATCTGCAGCCCCGCGAGCTTTTAAAACTGTGGGTCTGGTCCTGAGCCTCCCCATGGCCCTGCCCCCTGTACTGTGAGTGCGGGTCAGAGGCCCGGATGCGGCTCCCGGGGTCCCCCTTGGCCTTGCCCTGGCCGGCCCCCCAGCCTCCTTCCCACATGCCCCGCGGGCCTCTGCTCCGTCAGAGCGGAAGTGTCAGGTGCAAAGAACGTTCAGCCGGGGTCTTCGGCAGAGAGAGGATCCTTCCGGGGTTAGTTTTATGGCTTGACAATGTCCTCAGGGACCCAGATTCTTTTCACCCTTCCGCTCAGGGGTTGGTGCCCTCTCTGGTGTTGCTGTGTGGTGGTGCGGGCGTCTCTCACACTGGGATGTTTTTCTGAGGCGCCCTGTCTTCCAGGGGGCAAGAAGATTTGCTGTCCCATCTTCTCTTCTCTTATCAGGGATGAAATATCCCCAGACGCCCCAGTGACTTCCCCTTCAACCCATTGTCCTCATCCCCAGACCCATCCCTGCAAAGCCTCGACTGGACGATGTGCTCCCTCTGGCCGGGGTGCTTCGCCTCTGAGCAAAATCGGGTCCTTTTAACAAGACGCGGATCGCTGCTGCGTGGGCGGCCCAGAGTCAGCCCGGGAGGTCAGCTCTGCCGCCCGCATCCGTGCCGTGGCCGCCTTCCCCGCCTGTGGCCCGGCCCAGCGGCGCCTTCTTAGACAGACTTTTCTGCTTGCAGCGCTCCTAGATCCTCCTGCTCCCCCACAGCCCGGCCCTTATTCCTCCCCACGGAGTGGGGTGTGGGGGCGCTGCCGTGGGCGGGGCAGGGTCTGGCTTGCTTCCAGCGCAGTGCCCGTCGCAGAGAACGTGCTTGGCCAGTGCCCGGTGGACTGGCCAGGGTGTCCCCGTCCTGCTGGGCGAGAGGGGCTCAGGTGGGGGGCGCCCCGCGCCCGGGTGGAGGAGGTGCAGAGGCGGACAGCGGTTCCTGGCCCTCCGGGCCGTGCACACCTTCCCGTGGAGGAGCCGTCGGGCCCCTCGGCCGCCCTGTGCCTGCGTCTCGCACACCTTCCGCGCCCCTGGAGCCCTGGGGCGTCAGCAGGCTCCACTCAGCAGTCAGCGGCGTCAGTGTTTGTGTGCACGACGTGACACACGGCCGAGCGTCCCAGCGGTGTGCGGGGCGTCCGTTGACAGGATCTGCCCTCCGCCCCGCCCCGTGGGGCTTCCCGTGTGCCCCGGGGGTTTTCTGGGTGTGTCACCAGTGGTGAACAGCAAGTCCCCTAAGTGCTCTTTGAACGACAATCACTGTTCTTGCTCACGTGTCTGAGGAGAGGGCACAGCGTGGCGTGTGGCCCTGCGGTGGGCAGGCCCCGGTGTGGTCTTCTCGTGGTGATGGCAGAGATGCGCGGGCAGCAGGAGCCGGGGAGGCCCCTTGGCCGCGACCCTAACCTGGCTGCCGTCCCTCCCTCTCTCCGTTGGCCAGGCAGGGCAGTGTACGTGTCCCTTTCCTGGGAGTGACAGGTTGCGGGCTCGGGAGACGAGCGGCTGGGGTGAGGGTGTGACCTCACGGTGCACACGCAGCAGTTCTGCACCCCAGGCCTGCAGACGGTAGCCCACCGCGTGCACCGTGCCCCCTGCCTTGCGGTTGGCGCTCGTTCTGTGGCAGGACAGGCAGGTTGGCCTCGTTCTTTCCAGGGCCACCCAGTCCCCCTTGTCCCTGGGCCCCATCCTTTGCTGCTCCTCACTGATGGGCATTCGGGCTCCACGGCCTCTGCAGCCGGTGCCCCGGTGGGCGTTCTGCAGGCTCTGCAAGCACTGCTTGTCCCCTGGGGAACAGCCCGGCTGTGGGAGTGCACTGGCAGAGGCTGTGCAGTGCTGACAGAGCCCCCTTTGGAGGAGGGCACTGAGGCTCAGAGAGGCCAGATGTGCCCAGGGGCAGCTTCTGGGGGCCACCAGGCTCAGACCAGGGCCAGCCCGAGTGTCCCAGAGGTGCAGGTGGGGTGATGAGGGCAGGCTGACCACACAAGGCCTGCTGCCCCCCCCTGGGCATCATGTGGTAGACTGTGCCCCCTCAGTTGGGCAGTTGGGGTGTGTTTGTGGGAGGCACGTAGGAGAGGGGTTGGCCAGGGCGCTGTCCCTGAGGCCAAGGCTGTCCAGAGGGCGGCTCCATCACCCAGTGGCCTTTCTCTTCCCTTCCTCTCTGTTAGATACAAAAGATGGTCTGGTCTTATACCCTCCAAACCACTGTGGCCTGCCCCTGCCCCTGCCACTGCTTTGGGGGCCGCCTCCCGATGCCTAGGAATCAGGCTGTGATGCCCTACTGGGTGCCCCAGGCCCTGAGGTCTCACAAGAAGGTAAGAGGGAGGCTCACACAGCAGCCATGCCTGAGAGTGCAGGGCGGGCCTGCGGAGGGACCTGAGGTGGGGGGCTGAGCTCGGTTCTCTCCCACGGAGCCCCCGCTGGTATCCAAAGGGCCCCTGGAAGCCGTGGCCACAGACAGCAGAGTGCAGGAAGCCGGCAGTGTGCGGGGGAAGGCAGCTCCGTGTCCTGGTGGCTGGTGGGGGGTGGGGCGGCACTGCTCCCCGTGTCCTTTGCTGCTGCCGCCTCCCCTGCCTCTCTTCCCTTGTCCTCCCTACGTTGCCTCAGCCCCTGCTCCGTGTCCCTCTGTCTGTCTGAGCAGACTGGCCAGCCCCAGCCCTGGCAGGCGTGCAGGGAGAGTACCTGAGAAGGACCATTGCTGCAAACCTCCATCCATGCTCTTCGCCTCTGCCTGGTCGCCTCTGTAGCTCCTGGTTCCAGGGCGGTGGCAGCAGGGGTCGGCCAGGTCCAGCCCTCCAGCCCAGGGCCCCTTCCCTCCCGTCCTTTCTGAATGTCCTGGGTCATAGAAGCTTCCTTTCTGCCCTCATCCACTTTGTAGTTGCTGGTTTTCCATCATTGAGTAGCAAACTGTCCCTGGAAGTAAGACCCAGTGACCTTTTAAAAGGAGGCCTTTAAACATACAGTGCTGGCCACAGCCCCTTCCTGGTTTCCAGGCCAGACCCCTAGGCCACCCCTCGTTAGGTCACTGGACAGGGGCTGACGCATTTGCCCACATTCTTTTCTTTTAGGTGAAAAGGCAGCAGAGTTTTAAAGACAGCCAAGGTAACTGAGTGCCCGTGCCTCATGCCCATTCTCCCAGGAAGGCAGGTCATGAGACCATCGTGACAGGTGGAGAGACGTCTGTCAGCCCCCAAGTCTGTAAAACAAAGACAGTCATGCACAGCGCACGCGTACCTTCCCCCTCCCCCTCCTCTGGTCAGGGGGCGCTGAGTGGCTGCCACCTTCCCCTGGTGGGCTCAGAGAAGCCTTTGATTCTGCCCGCCTACCAGGGCTGTCTTCCAAGATAAGCCAGTTTGTAGCCTGGAGTTAGATGGTATCTGAAGTGTTTTTTTAAGTTCTAATCTTCTACAATTCATGACATATGTATGTGTATATGTGTGTTGTATATACATGTATATGTTTATGACATAGTATATATATTATATATGACATATATACCTACATTCATATATGTGTGACACACTATATGCTCATCACACTTTTATGCATATATGGTAGTTCCCACACAGTATATTCATACTTGCGTATATTTGTGACCTAGTACATATGTTCGTGGCAGACATCACGCATGTATATCATATGTTCGTGATGCAGTATATATTCACAGCGAAGCATGCTCATGTATTTATACATCTGTGACCCAGTATATATATGTGTATATATATTCTTGCACTCATTTATCAGCATACTAGGAGATGGCACCCACACACCCACTTTTACTTTGTTTCTAAAATGAGTGGGTTGGACTTGCTCTTGAAGGCGCTTTCTGGCACTGATGACCCACACGTCTGCTTTCTCGTGTTGCATGTGAACAAAGGAGTGGACACGTTCTGTAGGCTTGTATCGTGTCCTTCCGGGGCATGCTGTGCCCAGACTATAGGGAGTAGCCTTGTCAGAATCTGTGCAGGAGGGAGTGGACAGATGTTGGGACTTTGGGTGACTGAAGCTGGGGATCCCGTGATGGACATGTGATTTGAGTAGCACCCCCAGGGTCAAGAGGTACGGAGTGGGGCAGGTGATGTCTTGGGAAACGACTGGCCACCAGCTGGCATGCACCCCTGCAAAATACGTACTTTTCCCTGATTATGAAAGTAACACAGGAGGAACACCAGCCATCGAGGTTTTTGGGGCAATTTGGAGGCATCCATCAAACCTCTTTTTACTGAGCTGTGGTTGGTGTGCCCAACATAACGAGTGAGTATTTGTGTCTAGTGGGACAGTTCAGTTACTGTCCAGCACATTTGTGGCTCTGTATTGTGTTTCCTTATGATGAGCGAGCTCTTTTAAGATCTACTCTCTTGGCAGCTCTTGTATATGCAGTGTCCCCATGCCTGACACGCTCTCTCCACCTAGAAGCAGCCCTGGATGCGCGTCCCTGGCACCGGTGCTGGCGGGTCTGCTGCAGCAGCCAGCGCCTCCTCAGGTGGCAGCGGCTCACACTCCAGGTCCTGCACCAGGGCGAGCCGCTGGGCCCGCACCTGTCACTCAGCTTCTGTCTGCAGACCCTCCTCCGGACAGTCCTGAGGGCCCTGGCGGCCTTCTGGTGAGCAGGTGAGGGACGGCGCAGGGCCCTCTGCCTGGGCTGCTTTGCCCAGGGGTCAGCAGTGTTTAGCTGAGGCAAGGGATTGGAGAAATGCCATGATTTCTGTCGTGTGGTCACCACCCAGAGTCTTTTTCACCCCACCATGCATGGATCTCCTTCCCCAGCAAACTTCACGGGGCAGATCCCGTGCCAGGAGCCGGGGGTCTTGGTCTAACCCCTTTCTTTCTTTACTGTTCCCCTCTTCCCAAAAGACTGCCAGTTTTGGTTTCTGAAAATGTCTGTCATGTCTGGCTTTAAGGTCATCCTAGGGCCAGCACACCTAGGCAGCCCCTGGGGTCTGAGCGCCCCTTTGGGGGTGGGGACCTCTGCTCCCCCCCACCTGCCCTGGCCACGGAGGCTCCATGCGGGAAAGTCCTTTCCCCGCCTCAGCCAGCCAGCCTCTCCTGCTCTGTCCCTCCCTCAGGAAGCCCCCGGGGCACCCCAGGATGAGGCCGGGAGGGCCACGGCAGGGCCTCACCTTACTTGGCTGCTTCCTCTAGCCTCCTCATCCTCCAAACCCACCCCACCCGGTTTGCCCACGACTCCAACCCAACCTCTTCCTATTTGTTTCTTCATCGCACTTGTATGTAAATGCAGGTAAACACTTGCACAAATACATGTAAATAGAAGATGTGCAAAAACACATCAACATGTAAATGTACTTGACTTGGATTTACACATATTCATCTGCTTGCTTTTTAATTCTTTGTCTCCTCCATGTAAATGTAAGGAATATTCTAGAACATGTCCAGTATCTGAAAACAGTTGTAGGTTTCTTTTGCCCAGTTTCCTAGTTCCCTCCAGGAGGTGAGCTCCGTCGCTGTCACACTGTTGGCTGGAAGCAGAAGTCCCCGTCCCTTGGCTCCTGCTTTTCCCCTCTCCTCTGTTACCTCCAACTCCCTGCGGTTACAAATGACACCTGCATGTATGAGTGGACCTGGGCCCCAACCTCCCTGGGCACGTGCTCCCAGGAAGGGGGCTGGGGCGGGGGTCTGTGAGCTCTTCATGGTCTGGGAACAAGGGGAGGGCGGCACTGTGAGGTTTTTCTTCTTTGCTTCGCAAAGGTTTACTCTTTGTTTTGTGTTGGCCAGCTTGCTGTCAGATTTACTTGGACTTCCCTGTACCCTCTCTCTGGAGAGCAGAGAGTCCTGACTGTAGGTGCTGCATGTGAATGGCCGGGGCGGCTGAAAGGACAGGTGTTTGCTTCTGAGCCAGGCTCCCAGGGCAGAGGTGCGGGCACCAGCCAGCTGCTTAGGAGAAATGGCTTGTCTGGGGGGGTGTGCGCGTGAGAGCTCCCAGACCACGCGAGCAGCTTACCTCAGGGGAAGCCACTAGCTGCCTGTCTGCTGGTTTGGCAGAGACTGGTTAGAGCAGCAGAGGCTGGGGGCGGGGGGGGGGGTGGGGGGAGCCGGCGTGCCCTCGGCCTTCCCGGCAGGGAGCCTGAAGCTGGCTGAGCAGGGCCCAGCTGGTGGGGCTGTCTTCATCTCCTGCCTGTCCCTCCCGCAGTCCACTCTCTGGCGCTCTCCTCCCTGTTCCAGAGGAGGGAGGGGCTCTGAGGGTCCGAGCAGCTTGCCTCAGGTCCCGGGGCGGCAAGGGGAGCCGGCCCAGGCACACCCCGGCATTGCTCACGGCACCCCTGCCCCGCGGGGCTCCACAGGGCCTGAGTGTGGTGGGGACCCAAACGCCATCCCTGTCCACTGTGGGGGCACCCCGGCCTCCGAGCCAGGGAGGCCCTCCAGCAGGCCCTGCACGAGCGTGGTCTCAGTGTGGGCGACAGTTCTTAGTAACTATTTTTCTCTTTACTTTCCAGCTAGTTATTTTGGGTTTGAAGTTGACATCTTCAACTATGATCAAGAATATCAGCAAAAATGTCAGTCGTAATAAAAGTCTTTAATGGACATCACCAAGTCAGGAGTCTGTGACAGCCACTATTTTCTCAGATCATATGATTCACACCCAAGGTTCAAGCCAAATCATTTATCATCAGGTGATTTTAGTTGCTGTGAATGCGGGTGGTAAAAATGGGGTCAATAAATATTATTTGTGAAACTCTCCACAGCAACTTTCAAACGATAACGTCTGATTTTCCTTTGTGAGGGCGGGCCTCTGCGTTCCTGCCTCCTGTCGCTGTGGGAGGGGGGCCGTCTCCGAGTTTCTCCTCCCTGCTGGGGGCAGCATACCCACCGGGCAGAGGTCCCCACCCCGTCTCAGCACCTGTTTCGAGTGGGTCTCACTGTAGGTGGCATAAAATTGTGTGTGAATTGAATTCTTTTAAACTGAGATATCAATCACGTACTGTAAACCTCAGCTTTTAAAAGTATATGATCCTGTGGTTTTTGCAAGGTTGTGCGACTGTCACCGCTGTCTAATTCTAGACCTTTTCATCTCTCCAGAGAAGCCCTGTACCTCTTGCGTCAGCCCTCCTTCCCTTGTCCTGCAGCTCCTAGAAGCCACTAGCCTACGTCTGACCTCTCCTCCTCTGGGTGTTCTGTGTGGCCGGGCCCTCTGCTGTGTGGTCTTCGGTTTCCGCGTTGCGCGCCCGGCCTGGTGTTGTCCAGGCTGGCCCGCGGCATGGGTTAGCGCTGCGTTCCTCCTCAGGGCTGAGCGGTTCTGCGCTGGGTGGGTATGTTCACTGTTCCCCGGGGGCTGGGCCTTGGGGCGGTGTCCCCGTTGGGGCTCGTGCTGCTGTGCACATGAAGGTGTCCTCGGTTCTCAGGCGTGCGCCTGGGGGTGCTGCGTCATGTGGTGACTGTTCAGTGTTTTGAGAGCTGCATCAGTTTTCTCCAGTGGAAAACACCATTTTTTATTTTATTTTCCTGCTAGCATGGCATGAGGGTTTTGGTTTTCCATATCCTTGACAACACCTGTTATTATCAGTCATTTTGTTTCTAGCCATCTTTGTGGGTGTGAAGTGGTATCTTGTGGTTTTGATTTACATCTCCCTGATGACTAATGACATTGAGTGTCTTTTCATGGGCTTATTGGCCATTGTATATCTTCTTTGTAGAAATGTCTGTTCACTAAGTACCCCTTCCGGAGAAGTTCTTCGCAGCCAATCAAGAGCTGGTTCCTTTGCTGGAAGCCCGTTTCTCCTGGCTTCCAGAACAGCGGTCAGCATCCTTCTGCTGGCACCAGTCCGGTGTTAGGCAGGTGTCTCTGCCCTGGACGGGGCAGACCCCACACTGTTTTGGGCGCGGGGTGACTGGCTTTCTCATCGGGTGTGTGTGGCTCATCCGTCATGCGATGGCACCACCTGTCAGCTCGCCCGCAGAGGACTGCCACCCGGAGCAGCCGCAAGCTCCCCACGCTGTGCAGCAGGCCCGGAGAGCACCTGGGTGAATGGCGCCTCCCGACCTGGTGGCCCTGAGTGCTCCCTAGCCGAGAAATGCAGCTCCCTGTGAGGAAGTCCTGCAGAATCTGCAGTCCCAGGGCCACTGCTTGACGTTTGGCCATGTGCACAGTGTCCAGGCTTTGGGAGACACTGGACAATGGCACCCACACCTGGAGGGCAGTGACCCTCGGGCCCCTTTCAGTGAGAGGTGTTTCTGCTTGAAGTTTTTTCACCGAACTCAACAATGTTATCGACTTCGTTATTCATGACTTGTTCCATAGCCATGTTCCCATTGGGTGTTACAGATGAGGATGTGGGCATCTTTGGGGGCCATTATTCTGCCGGCCACAGCTCCCTTGAGGTGGCTTTGTCCAGCTTGCTCACGGACGTGAGTCTTGCGGAATGTGCTTGCTCTCTGAGTCTGGACCCGGCCTGCGGCAGCGCCTCTGCGGGGGAGGCCGGGACTGAGGCTTTTCCCTTGGGCAGCGATGCCTCCCGCTCTGGGCCAGGCCCTGTCACTCAGAGGCAGGGAGAGCGGACACTGGGCCAAGTGATTAGCCATCTCTGCTACGTCTGATAATAGCCTTTCCATCATACCTACTCTGAAGACGGACACGGAGCCTCAGGGACTCTAAGCAGCAGGCTAACCTCACGCAGCTCAGCAGTGGAGTCAGGATTTGGTGACTGAACGGCACCGCCCACTGTTGGCTTGATGTGCGCCAGCCTGGGAGGCATTTCACACCAGAAGCCGAAAGCTCAGGGAGGCTGAGGGACACCGCCGGGTTCAGACTGCTGCCTTTGGATCCCGGCTCCCTTGACAATGGCCATGTGGGTCACGATTCCAAGAAGCCCCTGTGAACTGACCACCAATAATAGAGCATCTCACACACACTGGACACCAGGGGCACTGTCCTGGGCTGTTGTGGGGGCAGCTGTCTGTGGTCCTCGCCTGGCGTCCACGTGCTCTCTCGGAGTCTCCCCCGCAGACCCAGGGGTGCCGCAGCCAGTACTCTCTCCCCCGTGCACTGGGGTTGGCCTCCCCCACCTACTAGACTTAGTCCCTAAGCTGGCACCTGGGACGCCTAGTGTGTGACACAGAGCTTGAACACAGTAGGCACTCAGGAGCTGTCGTTTGAATGAAAAAGTGAGTGAATGAATGGATTCCAGAGCTCCAGCTATGGGCCAGGAAGCGTCAGACTCTCGTCTGTGGGCGTGACCTGTGGATGGGGGGCCCAGTACCCGAGAGCTGGCTGTTTGTGTGGCCTCTGGAGGTCAGGCTGCAGTGGAAGGACTGTGGAGGGGTGTTGGGGGGCCAGATGCCCTGCATCCCCCTTGGCCCTGCCCTGTACCTGCTCCAACCTCCCACCTGGCTTCCTGCTGGGGGCTGACCCGGGGTTGCCGTACATTTGTTTTACTGGGAACAGGGTGAGAGCCCCAGGGGTTCAGCCAGGCCACTGTAGCCCCATGAAGGCACCAGCAGCCTGCCCAGCCCAGCCCAGCCCTGGCCCTGGGTGGGCCCGCTGCCCAGCTCCTTCTTCAAGGAGCTCTCCAGGTACCCGTGTGCCTGGACCCAGGGGTGGGGGGGCTGTGAGGACGCCTAGTCCGACCAGCGTATTCACAGTTAGGGATGCAGAGGCCCAGGCAGGGCAGTGCCGTGTCCACAGCCACACAGCAGGCCGGTGGCAGCTGCGAGGCCTGAGCTCAGGTCACCCATGTTCCGCCTGCTCTCCACTTCTCCACATGCATGAGCTCCCCAGGCACTGTGCCCGTGGTCCTTCCAAACCTCCCCAGCAGAGGCACGGCCAGTGGGTTTGAGTTCGCATGGAGCTCGTCATATTTCCCGGCTACTGGGGCCAAGACAAAAGCCTGCGTGGGCTGTTTGAGGACAGGGCTCTGCAGCCAGTCAAGGGCATCTGCCGTAGGCCCGGGCTGGGGACTTTACATTTCTGTGCTAGCAGCTCTCATGTACTTGGCATGCAGTAGGTGTTTCCTAAGCACCTATTGATTATGGGTGTCCGCTGTTTGGTGGGTGACCCACTGGGGGTCTGGGAACCTGCTGGAGCAATTGAAAACTTCCTGTGTTCACACTGCCATTTCCCAGAGGGCAGCCCCATTCACAGGTACTGTTTTTGTTAAAATCACAAACCTCAGGGTTGACCCATGAGCAGTGGAAGGTGGTGGCATCCGGAGGAGGCCATGTGTGGCATTCTGGGGCTGGAGTTCGGGGAATTTTGTTGTCTCAGCACCAGCTAAAGCAAGTGTACCTTTCCAGGCATCCCACATTTGAGGGGGGAGATGTTCCAGAAACTGCAGTATGTGTGGTTCCTAGATGGGGAGCAGGGGGTGTGTGGGGCGTGGGTGGCCTTGACCGAGGTGCTCCGAGCCGCCTGGGTCCGCCCCTCCCATCGTCACAGCCGGGCCTCTGTGGGAATTGGGGCTCTGGGCTCCGGGCCGCCTCGCTGGGTCGGCCGGTCATCCATAAAGTGGTGACGATCCCCATCTCTGGCTGCACGTTTCGCTGGCGTCAGCCCTGCCCCCTCCTCGCAGGCCCAGCGATGCACCTCCCAGCCTCTCCCCTTCCGTCCTCCTAGAAACCATTTTACATATTAAACAAGTCTATGAATCTGAAAATGGGTACAAGACAAGGATTTGTAAAAGTGTAAACACAACTTGTCACCACTCTGTCCCATGTTTCCTGTCAATGGGCGGCCTTGACCTGGAGGCCCAGCAGAGCCGGGTGTAGTGGCTCTTTGAAGATGCAGGGGCCGTGTGCCCTGGCGGTGCTGGGCCAGGAGGCTCCCATCCTGCGGGCCCCGCTCTGCTGATCCCGTGACCAACCCGCCGGCCCCAGTGACCAGCCGGGCCCCAGTGGGCCTTACCCAGGGGCCGGAGTGCCCCTCGGCGACCAGGGGCTTGTGCTCACTGTTTCACGGAGGGGTTGTGACGTACAGGTTTAAAAAGTCTTACATCATGTACTTTCATCCCCAAGACCTCATGTAAGTCTTACAGTTTTCACATTTAACTATTAGAAGCTGAGATATTGTTCTGATTTTGCAGAAGGGCAGCCGGTGCCCAGAGAAGTCTGTTGCTGTTTATGAGCAGGGAAAGCCGGGACCAAATCCTTATGTACTTCTGATCGCCTTCCATTGACAAAACTGGGGACCAAGATGTGCCATTTCATAGACATCACCTTCCTCTCCCTCGGGTCTGACTGTACAGAACATTGAAAGACAAAAATATATAAGCAAATAAACGCTCTGTTGGGTGTGATGGGCTAGGAAGAAAGGTGAAGTGCAGTGGAGGGGCAGGTGGTGGTGGGGCAGGGTGGGCCTCCAGAGGGGGGCCCGGGGCTGGGGAGTGGGAGGGGAAAGTGGGGGGGCAGCGCGGGCGGGGGCGGCGTGTGCAAGGCCCTGAGGGGTGGCCGGGGCCCCTGTGGCCTCATGGAAGCGAAAGGGGGTGGTGGGCAGGGACGGAGGCCTGGAGGTGCACTTGGGCCTGGTCGCCAGGCTCGGCATCCTGAGAAGATTCGGGTTTATTGTTCGACTTGGGGAGGCCCTCGAAGCTCCTGGAGGGGTGGCTGACCAGGCTGGACTCTGAGGCTGAGTGTCCCCGCTAGTGGCCCTGCTGAGGATTGGCCCAGGAGGGCTGTGGGGAAGGGCACCACCCTCCTACCCTCCTTCCGAGGCTGGGACCGAGCCCGGGACTGAGCCGGGCGTGAGGC